CTGATTAAATATCTTTTTATTGAAATACAAAAATCAAGTTACAAATTAAAAATGCCACACGATATTCCTTCTTCTTTTTTATATTAAATTTCATTATTTATCAATTTATTTCGTTCAAATTTCTTACTCGTCTTACGTTAATCTAATCTCCAATAAAATATATTTTATAGAAAAAAAAAAAAAAATTGGAAACAAAAATAAAAATATACACGAACGAGATGTTGCCTAAAACATAATTTATACGCGATATGGGTTTGCTTGACGATAACGAGGAACGTTCAAACATTTATCAGCATCGGCGACGAAACTGGTCGATGGACCGTTAGCCAGCCCCAAGGTGCCATTACAGCGGAGCCGAAAACAAGTTTTATATCATTAATTCGTTCGTTAGTTCGGTATTGCTAATGAAACATTTTCGACGAACGAAACCCTCGAACGATACACTCCTGGGTTTCATTAATCCACGTTGCTAATTTATGGGCCGATTAAATCGCACCGATAAAAATTACCATTTATCGGCCGCTGCCCTAACAGATACAGGCCGCGATTGTTTAATTTCATCGTTCACTGGCGGGCGAAATTGGAAAGCATTAATAATACAAGGAGGAACCGGAGAAGTCGTCGCTGTAAAATTGGAATGGAATTGAAAAATTGCGTAGTGCCGTGGAACGGATTGAACGATACTTGAAACAATTAACAGAAAAATCTTCCGAGAAACTGTTAAATTTATATATTATGTCTGTTAATTTCTGAAAGCTCGTAAGTTTGAGGGTTTTTTTAAACAATTGATAAATATATAATTTAGAATTTCTTCAAAATTCTTGGAAACCTAAATCGTTAAAAAAATTTAAGATTACAAAGAAATAAATTAAATGATATTAATGAAGTTAACGAAAGAAAAATTGATTACAGTGTATCTGATCTTAAAACAAAATGAATTTGATGAAATTCGCTTGCGCCTATAGAAATGAAACAAAAGTGTATTGTCCCATGGCGATTTAATGACACGAATATCCATCGAACGTGGAGGCAGCCATGCTTCAAGCAAAACTGAAACTAAATTAAAATTGAAATTGAATCAAACATACTGTAAGTATGATCTGATTGAGCGAGATGAGCGAATATCGAATACTATACAATAATTGGAACAAATATACTATAAATATTAAAATTAAAAATATATTAAAATTATTTTGATATCACGTATTAAATTATTCCCTCAAATATGTTACTATTCATCGAATCAAACTGACTCGTGCAACAAACTCGTGCAAACTTGTACTACAATTATAACACAGAAAAGATAAATATCATTATTGCTCTGGATCAATATACTATAACTATATATTGTCACGAGGCCTTGAATTAACCAAACCAACCAAAGAAAGAAGAATCTTTTCAAGCTATTTAAACAGGTGCTACGAAAAAAAAAAAACAGGGAAATTTCCCAAATAAACAATTACCAACAACTAAACGATTAATTTACATTCGTTTTACAGAGCGGTATGGGGTATCACATTCGAATCACCCATCGATCAACGTGGAACGAGTTCACGAGTTTCTTATGAGACAGATTAATTTTCAAGGCGCGGGGGATGAATGGCGGGTAAACACACGCGCGAATACACAACGAAGGAACGACGAAGGTTTCTAATCTAATAAAACGATCGCGCTATTAGCTATCGGCATTCGACATGAAGCACGCGTACCCGATACTCTTGGCTTTTACGTGACACGTGAATACAAGCGTTTTAAGCGTAAAACGTGCACGCGGACAGGGTGTGGTAAGTAACTCCTTTGTCCCGTGTCACGAATGAAAAGTGAACGTCACGCATGCACACACGCACGCACACATTCACATACACACGCACACATTCACATACACACACACGCAGAGGGATTAAAGTGGCATCGCTACGATGAGAAACAATTGTATTCTATGTTGATGTTTCCTATTTCTCGACGACGATGATGATCTCGTTGATGGACTGTTCGATAAACGTATTGTTTCTGAGATTACTTTTCGAAATTGTTTTTTTGTTCACGTGTGGGCGTTTAATTTCAGGTGCAGTAAATTGATTTAATTGACACGAGTGTAACATTGAAGATGATTTTTATTCCTCAAAAACTTGGTATTTTCTATATTCATTTTTCAATATAACGCGAGCAAAACGAAGTATATATATTGATTGCTTGAAAGAAGGATTTGAAGGATGTTTTAAGGATTAAAACGAAAAAATATTCTCCCTCATTCTAATGATTAATATAAATTCTTCGATCCTCGCGCAATTTAATTAATTACATTTTATTGATCATCGATAAATTAAGATAGAAATATTTCTAGCAGCGAGACAATAGCCATTGTCACAAGAGAGTTGAACTCGAGTAAAGCCCTGAAAGTTAACCAGTCGCGAACGGCATTCTCCTCTCATAATTCAATCGCTATAATTCTCGAGCACGTGAACAGCAGAAACCTTGTCGAATCTATAAACACTTTCTACTTCTGGAAAAAAAAAAAAAAAAAAAAAGAAAAGAAAAATTATATCCATATCGACAATTAATCTCGAGTGTTTCCAGACCAGAATTCTCGTCGACATCGGATAACAATCGGTCCAAGATCCTTCTAGAATCTCAACCAGAGTTGTTAACGATCAACAAGGAACGAACAACAAGAGTATGATATTTCTTTTGTTACTAAAGATGGAACGAAGGAAAACGTTATTGTATTTTTCAGGCTCGATGTTAGATCACGTTGTTAGATCACGAGAAAGATCGAGAAAGAGGAAGAAGGAAGGGGAAGAAACGATACGAGTGGGAAATGGGGAAAGAGAGGAACAAAATGAGAGAGGGGCGAAGGATGAGAGGGGTTAAAAATATTCTCCACATGTCCTGTCACTTACCAAGCATGAATATTTACGTCCACCTCGAAAGTTTTCAGGAGATAACAGGTCTTAAAGATTTGGTAGCCACCAGTGGCCATAAACTGTGGACGGTGGTGGGCTCGTAAGTGTCTTGCTGTAAATCTGTTTCTTTAAAACTTACGAATTCGCGTTTCAATGTGATTTAGAGAGTTGAAAATGTGACTCGTGTATCGGTGTGGATTATTCGTGCTTCGTTTATATTCGTCTCTCGTGAGATTTGCTTAAAATTATGTTAATATATCGGTTTGAGTAACGCGTTATTTTCGAATTTGCATTGATTTTATTGAACGGTAAGAATAATCTTTTGTAATTAACAAATAGCTTGATTCTTGGTTCGTTGTCAAAAGATATAAATAAAATTCTCTACGAGAGTAATACTTTGCAATTTTGGAAATTAAAAGATAGATAGATTGATAGATTCATAGATTGAGTTAGATCCTTTTTTTTTTTTATTTATGCATTACTTCTTTTTCGTATAAATATTTATATTTATCTACATTAAATTACACGATGAAATTACCGTGAACACGTGAAAGAAAACGTTTTGTAAACGCGTTGAAATGCATGTTCAGCTATCCGGTTGCATACAAGAAGGCGCGTTTCGACGAGGAATATGCAGAAATGCAGAAACCATATTGCAAAAAAAAAAAAGAAAAAATGAAAAATAAGCGAAAAATTCCTTTACCCTAGTTAAATTAATACGAATTTAAAGCATTTTTTTAAAAAATAACTTATACATTCAATAAAAAAAAAAAAAAAGAAGAGAATACAATAACAAGTCGAAGTTGATCTTGAAATTTATTGAATCCTTTCACTTTCAAAAGACAGCTCGTATGAATTACAAATAAATATCATTTACAATTTCGCTTCAGGCAGAATTTTTTTCAATTCTTAACCTTTTCAAACGTACATACTTATGAAAGAATTATGATAAATCAGCTTACAATTTATCATATTTCTTAAATTAAACGTATAGCACGTACGTCTACAAATAAAACAGAATTACGTACGTATTACGAAAAACTTTCTTTTCGTTTCTTCAATCAATTACGCGAATCAATGTGAATCGATCCAGCGTGTCACATTTCAGCTCACCTGTCACAAATTACAAATCGTGCGTTACGAAGAATAAGAACACTACATTTCGATCGCAGGAAAATCAAAATCGAATCAAATTTTCTGTTTGCTCGAAACTCGAATTACTCGAATTAATCGAGGAGCCCGAGAATTTTCGAGGATCGACTCGACCACGATTTACGTTACGCAATCCTTGTTGAAACGAGAAGCCGAAAGCTCGAATCGAGCCTCCTTTGTTCCCCCGGACAACGGATTCGAAATCCGATCGATTGTTCTAATCGAGACCGAGCCGTGTGTAATTGCTTCCTGCGGATGTTACAATTACCGCTACGTATCGGATATAACGTATTGCGGCGTGCACAAAAGCTGGGAAAAAACAGATCGACACAACGAATTGTAACGGGACGTGGGAAGGCTCCTTTCCAAGCCGCGAAATTATTTCCATTAATGAACCGTGATACCTTCTTTCGAGCGGCTCGAGGAAACGGCGCGAAATTTGAACTGAGAGAGGATATAAGAGGAAAAACTTCGATTTTCGTTCGTCGGGAGTGATCGATGATTATAGGTAGGTGCATACGATATAGGCGATTTGCGAAACAGGATGTCGATGTTTTGTCGTCGTTTGCAATGTTCGAGGCTTGTTATTTGAATAGAGTTATTTTTCGATGACGGTAATTTTGTTGAATTATAAATGGTGAATTGAATCTTGGGATAAAATGTGATAAAAATTATAAACAGTTAAGAATAATAATATAAATATAAAAGAATTTGCGAAAGAATTATTTCATAAATTAAAATGTATTTTTATCGTCGTTTAATTGGCACGTCTTTTTTTCATCTTATCTCATATGATCAAATCGAAAGGGGAATTAATATAAAACTTGTTTAGTGAGAGAAGTTTAAAAAAATCTAAAGATAAAGAGATATATATATATATTCAGAGGCTGTAAAGTTTTTAAGGCCAATCGTGTCCGTATTATCGTAAAAAAAGATTTATCTTACCTGAACGGCGCTGTTGAGGAAACAGTTGTTTTGACCAGGTCCATTGAGCAATCCTTTAGTGCTGGTGAAACTGGTATTATGATCATTGGACGATGATTTCTGCGCGGACTGGATCTGTCCGTTTGACTGACTTCCATGGATCTGATGGCACTGCGTCGATTGCAAATATCCAGTATAATCCACGGTGTCCTGGGATGCAGCTGGCTGCTGTAACCCCATGATGGAAGCCATCCTCGGTCAGCTACGTCTGTGTCATCTGCGCGAAGGAGAAATTGAAATTTCATTGGTCGAATATATGTCAAATATCTCTTACAATTATCTCAATTTTTTAATTAATTAATATTGATGACGTTCCTTCAAATTCGTTCTTTCAAAAATTTTGAGAAAATTTAAGATTTATCGTCCAATTTTAAATTTTAAATTATAATTCACTCAAGGAGTTTTCAAATTTAATTCAGATCTAAAATTAATCTACATTAATCTCTTGTGAAATATAATTAAAATATTTCTTAACTCTGGTTTATAATTAATATGATCGAATTTGCGAAATGTAGAAGATAATCTTCCGAATCCCAAGGAATTCCCATTTTCGTAGTAACGTTTTGTTTTAAGTGGAGAAAATATTTTTTACATCTCCCGGTAGAATATAGGTAAATTGCAGGGTAGAGAATGAGAGACTCATAAAACTATGGTCATACGGAAGTCTACTTGCATACATAATCGTGGAACAAATTTTGCGGAAATAATAAAGGAGACAACATGATCCTTTATAGGCAATTCTCTTGGACAAATTAAATAAATTGCGGAAAAATGTGCGAAAGGGAAATAATTCTGCGTAAATATTATTCCAAGATTAAAAATCAATATTTAACTCGCCAAATGCGAAGATATACGATATAATATACCACTAATATATTTTTAATATTGGAAATTATTAAATTCTATATTTTACTGAAAGAAAAAAATCAATTGCAATATATTAATTAAGTGTTAAGAAATTATAGTAATAATAGCAACGACAAAATTATTCTACGTAGATATTATTCCAAGATTAAAAATCAATATTTAATTCGCCAAATACGAAGATTCACGATATAATATATTAATATATTTTTAATATTGGAAATTATTAAATTTTATATTTTACTGAAAGAAAAAAATCAATTGCAATATATTAATTAAATGTTAAGAAAGTACACTAATAATAGCAACGACAAAATTATTCTACGTAGATATTATTCCAAGATTAAAAATCAATATTTAATTCGCCAAATACGAAGATTCACGGTATAATATATTAATATATTTTTAATATTGGAAATTATTAAATTCCATATCTTATTGAAAGAAAGAAAATTAGTTGCGAGTATTAATTGTGTCAAGAAAGTACAGTAATAATAGCAATGACAAAGTTATTATTTATTACGAATTCAATTCAATACCTTTCATCATACGCACCGAGTATATTACAAGTGGAATGTGATAGCGCGGCGAACAGTAGCGTAACGCATCGCGTATCAAGCGATTGTAACAATACCAAGAAATCGTGTTCAACGAATCAATGAACGTCGAATCGATATTCATCGCCATTCTCGTTGCACCCCAATGTTCTGTCTGACGGAATGTGGCCTCGATCGAGAATCTTCAAGGAAAACTGTGTAGCGAGAGTGAGGTTCTGATTGATCGTAAGTAAGAATAATTCATCGAAGACGTTCTTTTTTCTTTTTTTCTATTCTTTTTTCTTTTTTTCTAGCGCGAGTGAAATCATCGATTAAAAAATGGGATCGAATATCAAAATACCAAGTTTATAGAATTTTCCTTGAATTACTTCCATAGAATAAATTCTCAGTTGATAAAATTTCAAAACCTTGAAGTTTGAAAAGTATGAAGGATTTACTTTAATCGGATGAATTAAAACAGTTTAAAAAAAAAAAAGAAAAGAAAACTAAAGTACAAAAAAATTATCTTTCAAATAATCGAACTTCTTATAAAATTCCCTTCATCGTCATTCCCTCAGAAAATATATCTACTTATTAAATGGGACAAATCAACGATGATGTTTTCACATTTAACCCAACAATTGTTATTCCATCCTACGTATAAATCTCCAGACGTATAAAAATTCTGGTCAAATAGCGAAGAAAAAGCGGGATCCCACTTTTGCTTAGCAAGATTCACACGGGATGGTGTGGTAACGGTAAACACACTGGTATCGACTCTGGTAATTTGTTCACACTCTCTATCGCGTCCTATTTTTACCCATGAACGAGCAATATTACCTTACGTTCCTTCTGTCACCGTTATGTTATATATTAATTTGAATTGCGTAGAGAAACCGGAGTCAATGGAATCGTCGTTTGAAGAAACAGGATGCAGGATGTAAACACTTACACTTTCCCCCGAGCGCATTAATGAAACGAGGTACGATTTATTATTACCTTAATCGAGTGCTCGTTCGTTTCTTTCTGCTTGTTAATAATTCCAGTTTGGCAAACCTTGAAATTGGAGATCGTTAAATTCGATTGCATACATATGTACGTACATACACATTCGAGTGGAAAAAAATTTTGTGAGATTGCAAAATCGTGGGTTTATGGAGATTCAGATTGCGTGCAAGCGTGAGCGTGAAATCGATTAAAAATCGATTGTAGTCATAGTACCGTTAAAATTACGTTGTTGGTTGGAACACGTGATGCACAGAGTGTCTATTTTTAACTGCCGATGTCGATTTGAAATGATGAAAATTTTTAGAACAACGGAGAAAATTTATTTTTATTTACTCGAAAAGTTGGCCAATTTTCTGACGTTTCCTCTTTTTAAATCCAAAAAAAAAAGCACAGAAATATTTCGATGCTCATCAAAAATAGGCTTCTTCCATGCACACGATCTCTTTTTCCTGGAGATTCGGAAATAAACTTCAACGCGTTGGTTATATATTTCCGACACCTAAGACTTGCATGGCGTATGATTAAGTCGAACAAAATTTTTTTATGATAATAATATCAAGTGCTAAATTTCATTATACTAATGAAAATAAAATGTTACAAATGTATTCAAGTTATAATATATCGAACTGAAATAAATAATAATATCCTACGAGTAAAATTTATCTATATGATTAAACACGTCAAGGTGTCAAAAGAAAATCCATTATCAGAGAAACTGATCACAAAGTTAATTCAAGTTAATCGAGCACTTCATTTGTAAAATCACAACGATAACCATTTTCAAAAAGAATTCCATCTTATCCAACCACAATTCTGGTTATGTTCAAAAATATTCAAAAATAAATAAATAAAAAATCCAATCCCTTTCACAATACCCATAAACAGGAAGGCAAAAGATATTCTATCCACGTTTCCAGAGGAAGAAAAAAGAAAAAAAAAATCACGTATACAGGCGAATCCTAAGTAAAAGCGAATCCTAAGTAAATTTTAACTGAAATCCCTTTGGCAAAATTCATGGACGAAAAGAAAAACGATGGTCGTGATTTCTTCTGCAAAGAAAAGAGAAATGAAAGAGGAGGTAGAAAAGTAAAATGCTGAGAAAAGATGATACGTATCGGTACGTGGAGGAGGCAGAAAGAGAGCGGCTGGACCGGCATAACCCGACAAGCTAAATGGTACGGCTGAGTGGTCGGCGTTAATTTCGAGGGGCCAAGAAAAGTGGTTGGAGGGACTACGTGCTCGAGTGGTAACCTGGCTTTCGCTGTCTTCGTGGTCGCTTTCAGGGTTCGGTAACAATGCGACCACGATATTTTTCGCTTGTCAAAAGCAGACGCGAGCTAACGTAGGAAACTCGATACGCGTTATGTTTATACGTGCGAGTAAATTTTTAGAGAGGAAGAATATTTCTATGCGCTACGTATGTTGGTCGAGAGAAGAAATGTCAAATGGTGGGAAATTGGAAATGGATTCAGGTCAATCGAACGATATTACGCGTAGTATACTGGCTCGTGGACTTTTTCCTTCGTCGCTTGTGCTTGTAATTCGCTCGGTGATGGAGAATCGAATTGGAGGTGTAACGAATGGATGAATAATTTGCGTTGGAGGTGGAGGATAGATTGAAGGTGTAAGTTGTGATGCGAATAATTCTGAAATACTGACTGATGAGTAAACTGAAAAAGTTTTGCAATTTGTTATTGATATTATTGGAATTGTATCTTTTTTTCATAAAATAATGTGGGATAATTTAAAGAAATAGAATATTAGAGAAAGAAATATAATATTCGAGGGATGATTTATAAAAAAATTATAAAAATTTATCGAATTTTTTTCAAACAATTCTTCAGATTCGATTTATAAATGGAATTTAATAACATTTTTTAGCTAATTGTCAGATTTCTTTAATCATGAAAAACAGCAGGGATATATTAAAAATTATAGTCAATTTTTATTCTCACACGAATTCTCATTATGATTCTCAGATTTAATTTTAGATTGTGCTATCAATGCGAAATATCGTGTTACACATGTTCAACTCTTGCGAATATGTGCGAAATATATATCTTTTTTATCTACTATGTAATATATTTTATAAATTTAAATAATTTTCAATCATATAGTTCCTTATGGATATATAGTATAAATACATATGAATACTTTATTTTTGACAAATGAACAAAAATCTCATACAAATATTGACGTTCCAATTTATCCTGAAAATTAGATCTGGATGCATGCCAGTGTGATGTATTATCTTGTAAATATTGATATATGTTTGATGTAAAAAAAAGTGAAATAAAAAATAATTTCCGGTACCGGGAATCGAACCCGAGCCTCCTGGGTGAGAGCCAGGTATCCTAGCCACTAGACCATACCGGAGATATGTAGTTACTTCCTTCGTATTTCTTAAAGTCATAGAATAAAATAAATATTTTTAAAAAATTATTATATAATTTACAATTTTTAAATGAAATTTAAGATAATTATTCTATGAAATTAATAAAATTAAAATTAAAAATCGGAAAATATCTTTTCAATAATAAAAATAATAAATTATTATATGTAATATTTTCAAACATCTTTAAAAAACAATTAATTATTAAAGTTTCGAATATTAAATTTATTTTAATATCGAATTATTTTCTTTTTTCTTTTTGATTGATAATTTATATTCCACAAAAATTTTCAATTTATTCGTCTAGTATCGAAAAGTGTAGGCTTTTCTACGCCACGTTATTCTCCTTCCAAAACTATACTCTACGTGTTATGCATGCTGGCATAACAAGACTTCGTTGTTCTGAATGACAATGTA